GAGGAGGCCAGTGTGCATGGATGTAGAGTAAATGAGAAATAGGGTTTTGGCGTTGCGTAGACACAAATCACAAGACCTCGCAATAAAGCTGCAGGCCATTTGGGCGCTGCACAAGAAGAAGGCCCGAGGACTCAACTTGCATCTCTCCAACCCGACCATGCCCAAGAAGAAGATGCGCAGGGCCGAACCCTTGTCGCCCTACTTGTCTCGAGACGACACGTCCACCGACGGTGCCGCGGAAAGCCCCGACATGGACCGACTGGTGGACCTGACGCGCAGCTACCGGGTGTGGATGTTCCGATGCGAGGATGTTCAGGCGGCGATCCAGCAGTCCCTCTTGGATTACCGCACCGCCCCTGTCATCAAGGGAGTGACGGGGTGCAAGGCCCGAGTTCCGTTGTCGCCGCTGCATCCGCTCTTCCGGATCGAGTGTTTCCGCACCGTGCTGCAGACAACCGTCGAGGACCCAGCCAACGTGCTGATGCGGCCGTCCCTTCTCACCTTTTACCGGCCCGAAGACGAGGTCGTTATGGGCAAGGTGGCAAAGGTCTTGATTCTCGACTCGTACGGGTCGCTTGCGGGGACCGACAACTTCATGATCTTCTTGGGCGAGAGCAAGACGGCAGCATTCTTGACCTGGCTTGTCCAGGAGACCCCCAAGACCGATGTGACCCTCTGCGTTCACAAGCTCCCCGACCTAAAGACCGGGCTTTCCTACACGGGCACGAACTACTCCCGAATTGCGGCCACTTGTCTGCCATGCTTGTGCTTGCCATGACTTGTCAACAGTTGAATGGCCGCCTTGCTAGCGGCATGATCAACGACTTGTGTCTGCATCTGTCCAGGACTTCTGGGTTCACGATGGCGCCATGGACATGGAAGGCACGATCGCGGTGAAGTTGGCATTCAACTTGGCCCAGACCCATGCCTCGCTTTTTGACCTCATCAAAGAGACCACCGGCGTGCTTCGAGTGCAGGAGATTCAGAAGCTGAAGCACCAGATTTCCAAAAAGAAGCTGGAGCTCTCCAGCCTGCAGCGGTCCCTGGCCGGGTTGCAGGAGGATCAGCAGGAGTAGAGGCCCGACGGTCCGACAGGTGCCCGGGCGATGTACAGCCGAAGCCGTGGCCCGATG